CTAAGCCACCTGCTGAGCCAGCAGCCGGTCTGGTTCTACTCCGGCCACTCCACTCCCCAAGGCAGCTTCCTGCCGGTCAGGCTTAAACAGGGAGCTGTGGGAAGCGGGGCCACCAGGACACGAACCGGTGCCCAAATGGGATCCTGGTACTTGAAGGGAAAAATGAACCAATAGGGCTACTGTGCCTGGCCTAGTTCTTAAGGCTTTAGCTAAGGTAAGTCAAGCCGCCAGGACAGAACGCATAAACCCAGCTCCCAGGAGCATCAGGTGTTTGAATGTTTGGGTTTGAGAACAGTCAGTGACGGAATTGGGAAGATCAAAAGGAAAAGGGGATTTTTTTTAAATCCAAGCAGATTTGGAAAAGTGCCAGGTTTTTACAAAAAAAAGAGCATCGCACGAAGGGAGGGGCCTGAAGAAGGGTCCTCGCATGCAGCCGAGGAAGAGAAGAGAAAATTGAAAGCTTGTGGGTGCAGAGGGGGAGGGAGCCAGCCTGCCCCGAGAACTCCCAGAATTCCAGAGCTGCAGGTGGAGAGGGCCCTGGGGGCGGGTACAGGAAGAGGAGACATCCTGCCAGGCCCCGAGGGACCGGAGTGACCCGGTGAGCACAGCCCTGGCACGGGGCTGGCCTCACGGGGCAGTACTGGCCACACTCCCTCCGACAAGTGCAGGCAGCCAGGCCAGGGCCTGGGTCGTCTTCCCAGGGCCTGCTCTACCGGCCTCCGGTCCTTACCTTCCTGCGGGGGGCTGACCCTGGCCCCTGTTTCGGGGTGGACATGTGACAGTGAGGCTGCTGAGTTCTGCGGCTCTCATTAGAACCTGCTCCGGTCCTGCCTGGGTTGCCACGGGGGAGAGCCTGGCCTGGGCCGGTGCCCATGAGCCTGTGGCCAGCCATGCCTGAGGGACAGGCCACAGTGGTCAGCACATTTCCCTTCTTCTCAGCTCGAGCTGGCCTGGGAATGCCCGCACTCCACCCCGACGTCGGAGACCCACAGAGAAGAGCCAGGCAGGCCTGGAGGGTTGGGGACACACATGCACCCAGTGAGGCCACCTGGTGAGGGGGTGGGCAGTGCCGCTCCCAGACAGCCCGCCCTAGGCCCTGCCGTGGGCAAGGCCTCCCAGGTGGGCCCTGTGATGGCTGCACGTGGCTCAGGATGCCACTGAATGTTGGTGACAAAAAGCAGATCTCACCCATGTGACTTCATCTGACGCCTTCCAGTTGCAGCTCCAACCACACAGCATCGCTCCTGAACCAGACAGCACTGATGGAATTCAACCCCAAACCCTGGACATGGTGCCCCACCTGCTCACAGGAGCTCAGCACGGACTGCCTTCAAATGACTCACTCATCAGGCTGGTGGGTGTTAGCCACCACATGCAGACGGCCCTGCTGCCCCCCTGGGGTCCTGCACCTGCCTCGGCCCTGCTGCCTCCCCGGGGTCCTGCACCTGCCTCGGCCCTGCTGCCCCCCCCCGGGGTCCTGCACCTGCCTCGGCCCCCCCCCCCGGGGTCCTGCACCTGCCTCGGTCCTGCTGCCCCCCCGGGGTCCTGCACCTGCCTCGGCCCTGCTGCCCCCCCCCCGGGGTCCTGCACCTGCCTCGCCTGCTGCCCCCCCGGGGTCCTGCACCTGCCTCTAAGTGCTGCCTCCCCGGGGTCCTGCACCTGCCTCGGCCCTGCTGCCCCCCCCCCCCGGGTCCTGCACCTCTAAGGCTCCCTCCTCTCCACCTTTTGCATTTCCTTATTTTAGAAAGGTTGATTTATTTATTCGGAAGGCAGGATGACAGCAAGATCTTCCATCTGCTGGTTCACTGCCCAAATGACCACAGCAGCCAGAGCTGGGCCAGGCCGGAGCCTGAAGCCTGGCACTCCGCCCGGGTCTGCCAAGAGGGGTCAAGGTCCCCGTGCTGGGGCCATCCTCTGCTGCTTCCCCAGGCGTGAGCTGGGAGCGCAAAGAGGAGCAGCCCGCACTCAGATGGGTGCCATGTGGGAGGCATACACCTGCCCTGCCACGCTGCCAACCCCTCTGTGCTCGCCCATCCTGGCACGGCTGTCAGCGTTGTCTTCAGTTTTAGATTTATTCTCTAATATCTCGTTTCTGAGACTCCTGCCCCGTGCCGCCCTTGCCCGCTCCAGCCCGTGTTCTCTCTCTCCCTCCCCTCTTCCTCTCTCATTTCTCTCTCTCCTCCCCTGCCTTCTCGGGGCTTCTCAGCGCTGAGACCGCCCCTCTGTGGCCAGCCCGGACTGCCTGCCCCGCCACAGCCTCCGGGGGCCCCTCTGCACCCAGGGACTGCCGGCTGTGAAGCTCCTGCCGGGCCTCCTACTGGCCTTTACAGCTAGCACTGAGCCTCCTGGGGGACTGACCGCTACATGGAAGACCCAGGCCTGGCCACCCTAACGGGCCTGGGCGGGGCCTGGGCGGGGCCTGGGCGGGGCCTGGGCGGGGCCTGGGCGGGGCCTGGGCGGCTGCAGAGGTGGCACCTGCAGCCACGAGGTGGCGCACACTTTAGGCTCTGGGATCCGCCACAGCGGCATGGTCTGAGAACCCCCAGGCAGCCCAGTAGCGCCTGCTTCCTCCCCAGGGCTTGGGGTGGGGTCCTCCCGGCCTCTCCCTCTGTCTGCCGCACCAGGGTGCTGCAGGCGGTGTTTGGGGCGGGGGGAATAAACTGCCACCTGTCGCTGGATCCCCTCCCCCTCCTCTGGCCCCACCCTACGGAGGGTACCCTGCTGCCGGTCACCCACTGACCCTCCCGCACTTGGGCACTGGGACATGGGCGCGTCTGGGTCTTCAAATGCTCGTTTGTGTCCCGTGATTGTCGCTGGCATCACTGAGTGGGGTTTTGTGACACCCACACAGCGTGGGGGCAGGGACAGAGCAGAGGGGAGACAGCCTGCACCCTAGCTCCGGGAGACGCCAGGGACTCCTCTGTCCCCCTTGTCCTGGGGCTCGCCTGTGCTGTCTTGGCCCACCCAGTGAGTCAGGAGTGCTCTTTCTGGAAGCCATACAGATCAGTGGACCAGGCAGGGAAGGGCGTGGGCTCTGCACCCCCAGTCCTACAATGGGGCTCACCTGACCCGAGGAAAGCAGGCGTGGGCCCAGGGAGGAGTGAAGCTGCCCCTCCCCTTGCTCCAGCAGCAGTGAGGAGGTGGGGGCCTCTCCCAGTCGCCCCGGCCAGCTCGAGCCTCTTGGGGTCCCTACACATCCAGCTGCGCGGGTGAAGCCAGGTACCTGCTGCTGAGGGTCCCAGGATGTGCCTGCTCCCACCTGAGCCTGTGCAGGGCAGGTGAGGGCTGCTGGAGGGACCCGGCTGGTCCCTCTAAACACCCCCTCCCAGCAGGACCAAGCACCCTATAGCTATTCCAGGTCAGGGGAAGCTACCAGCCCCGGCCTCCACCGTCGTTCCAGCCCTAATCGAGCGCAAAGAAGACAGCTCAGCTTGTGGGGCCACGTGGGACCAGGTGCTGCCATCCTGAGGGCAGGGCCTGGGCCAGGAGTTGGCAGCTGTGGCTTGGCACGCAGCCGGCCTCTCCCGTGGCTCTGGGACATCGCCCAAACCCTCTGCATGCAGAGTCCCAAGCCATCCTAGGTTCTCCGTGTGTGGTGCCACGTGCCACCCGGGTGCGTGCAGGGCCAATCTCAGTGTTTGCACACGGCTTGGCAGGACTATCTGCCACTAATGCCACGTATTTCCAAGTAGCACCTGGGCCTTCTCCTGGGAGCCCAGCAGTCCTCGGGGGAACGCAGGTGCCTCCTTCCCATGTCCCCAGCAAGGACCACTCTCACCTGGGGCGGCCCCCAGCCGTGTGGCTCCAGGGCCAGCTGTGCGCCCCGCGCTGGGGTCCTGGGGTCCGTGGATCCGTGTGCTGGTCTGGCTTGGACAGAAGGGCAGGCTGGTCTTTATCTATTTTAAAGATTTACTAACTTATTTGAAAGACAGATGGGGAGGGAGAGAACTCTGCTTCACTTCCCAAATAGGCCACGGCTAGGCCACGGCTAGGCCACGGCTAGGCCACGGCAGCCACTCTACCACAGCTGACGTTGTGGGCCGTCACCTGCGGCTGACAGCAACAGAGGGAGGGCCTCCCCCAGGGGACCCCAGGCCTGTCCTTCCCACCCCTGTCCCTGAGAAGCGCTCTCCCTCCCTGGCTATCAAAGCTTCTTCCAGGTCTCCCACACAGGTGCAGGGTCCCAAGGCTCTGGGCCCTTCTCCACTGCTTTCCCAGGCCACAGGCAGGGAGCTGGACGGCAAGTAGAGCTGCTGGGATACAACTGGTGTCCATATGGGCTCCAGGTCCACGTAAGGTGAGGACTTTAGCCACTAGGCTACCGCGCTGGGCCCAGCAAGTCACTTTGGTTAAGCTCATTTTCCAGAGCCATGATCTGAGCTAGAAGAACCTGCGAATTTCCGGGGGCCTCCAGCCCAGCCCCCACAGTCCTGCCGCCTTGGAACACCCCGGGGAGCCGAGAGCGGCCCCTCCCCAGCCGCGGGGTCCGCGAGGGCATCTCCTGTGGGTGGGCCTCCCGAGGCGCCGGTCCGGTGCAGACGCGCGGGGGGTGCGGACCGGAGGCAGGCGGAGTCAGCGCCCCGGGGACCGGGAAGTGCTGGGGTCAGGGACTGGCAGCTCCGCCCTCGGCGCAGGCTCCCGCGCCCCAGCAGCCACGCGCCCCAGCAGCCACGCGCGGCCCCCGAGTGCCCGTGGCCTGGCCGCGGCCGCGCGTGCGCGTGGGGCGAGCGCGGGCCCCACGTGGGCCACCCAAACAAAGGCGGCGCCGCGTGACCGAGCGCGCCCACGGCGGGGCGTGCGCGCGGAGCCGGCGGCCGGGCGGGGCGCGGGGCGGGGCGGCGGCTGCGCAGGCGGCGGGGCGCGCGGGCTGGGCGCAGCGGGACGCGAACGCGCGACCCGGCGCCGCCTCCGCGCTCGTGGGCCGCACCGCCGGGGCCGCCTCCTCCGGGCTGCCCGGCGCCGGTGGGCTCCCGGGCGGGCGGCAGGTGCAGCGCGCCCGGCCGCTGAGGGGGACGCCGCGGCGGCGGCGGGTGGATGCGAGTTGGCCCGGACCTTGGCGCAGGGTAAGCGGCGTGCGCGGACCCCTCTCCGGACCCGGGCGGACGCGCGCCCCGCTCCGTCCCGGCCCGCGGGCCCTGACCAGGAGCGGTGCTCGGCGTCCACCCGGCGCCCTTGCTGCGCTGCTCTGCTCACGCGCTCCCGGGGCCGCGCGGACCGATGCGCGCTCGGGCATGGGCGTCCGCGGGGCCGGGTTAGCCAGGCAGGCGGGCGGAGGAGAGGAGGACGGGTGGGGGACGTGGGGCCCAGCCCGGGGTGGGGGCTGGCGCAGCTAGGGTGCTGGAGGGGGCCCTGGCTCCGGCGCGGGAGTGTCGTGCTCTGGACCCCCCTCCTTGCTGGACACGAGAGCAGGAGGGCACCCCAGCCCCTGAGACCCCAGGGAATTCCAGGCCAAAAAATTGTGGGCACTTGCCTCTCCTCTGCACCCCCTTTCTGCCTTTGTTGGATCCGTTGGCTTCTCCGGGGCTGCTGGAACATCCTGGCACTCTCGGGGGGTCGGGTGGCTGTGTGGCAGCCCCTTGCCCGAAGCTCCACCTTCTCATGCCAGAGCAGTGGGCAGGGAGGCCTTGTTGGCGCGTCCTGCTGGGCCTGCCTGTGTGCTCCACGTGGAAAGAGCCGTGTCCCCAGTTCCCCAAACACCCCAGCTTGCTCCTGCCTCAGGCCAAGTCCACTCCTGGGGCTGCGACACCCCTGCGTTTCCAGGGGTTCTGTTTGGCACAGTGGGGTCCCTGCCTGCCTCCCAGAGTTCAGAGTTCCAAGCCTTTCCTGGCCACCGGCCACCAGCCCCAGTGCTGGGGTTTGCCTTCGGCCGGGGCTGTGGGCAGGGCCAGGGACGCCCAGGCTGGGGGCAGAGGTTAGATGAGCTTTTTGGAAGTAGGCCTCCTCACGCACCTGCTGTGACCTTCGGCAAGACAGCCAGTTTCCTGGTCTGTGACTGGAGAGGGCTACTGGGCCCACAGCTGGGGCAAGGGTCAGACAGGCCCACAGCGGGGCCGGGCAGGTGTGGTCTAACTCTCCTTGCCCTGCTTTGGGGCCAAGCCACATCCCTGGACTGTGAGCCGGGATGCTGGATGAGGGGCCTTCCCCCACTGGCCAGTGACCCCGTGGTCTGAGCAGGCTGGACGCAGGGGGTGAAGCTTGCCCTGCGGCTGGCAGGGTCTCTCAGTGGCCTCTGTCCCAGGCGCCCTGGCTGATGACACGGGGAGCGTGCTGTCTGCCTGTCGTGCGTGCTGCCCGTCCATCCCCTGGAACCCCCAGGAGGGTCTGGTGTGTGAGATCTGCTCGGCCCTGGCCCTGGGAGTCTGTGCTGTGGTTCCCGCCCCGGCAGGTGGCAGTTCCCTTCCTGAAGGACCAGCCGACGAGCACTCTCCCTGTGCGCCCCCTCCTCTTAACCGTAGCGTCCAGCTTGCAGTGGGCATTGGGGCTGGCCTCGTGGTGGGGGCCTCTGCTTGCCTCATCCTTGCAGCCTCCTCCCCTTTGCCAGCCAGGGCATGAGGGCGGAGGCTGTTTCCCAGAATCCCCGCGTTGCGTGTCAGTAGGCTCTGCACTGTGAGTGGCTCAGCATATGGAGTTGGTGGTTAGCGCCCTGCTCCGAACACGTCCCTGAAACCACAGTCAGGCCTCGCTCAGACCCCCAGGGGCCAACCACAGGGGTGCCTTCCGCTCTCCCCGCTCCGTGCGCCCTGCCCTGGGACCGCCTCCAGGCTGCCGCCAGCTCCCTGTACCCCTGCCACTTGGTGGTGCTGGAGGCAGGGGCTGCATGGCGCTGTGCCGGAAGGGGGCCTTTGTCCTGGGCAGCCTGAGGCTCAGCCGGGGCTCCCTTGTGGAACCTGCCAACTCTTGGGAGTGTGGCAAGCATCCCCTCCAGTGGTGCCAGGGTGGCAGTTCCTGTGTTATGGAGGTTGTGGGTGACTCTGGGGGCAACGGGGTAGTGGCTGCAGATGGGTGCTGTGCGTGGCAGGGAAGGGTTCAGGACTCCCCTGCGCCAAGCGTGTTGGTAACCAACCAGGGCGGGTGAGGCTGAGGCAGGCGAATGCCGGGGGTGTCCGCCACTACGGGCGGCCCTGGGAGGCGGCCCCCGGGCATTTGGAAGACTCCCACAGGGCTTGGTTTGGGCCCTCTGCCAGTCGGCCTGGGAGCTGTGGGCCACCACGGGACTCTGGCTGCTTTTCCTTGGCTCCTCGGAGGCACAGCGACGCATGTGCGGGTGGGGTCTGTTCCTCCATGCCGTGAGCAGGGGAGGGAGTTCAGGACCCGGCGTGGGTGTGGAAGGGCCATGTGTGTCTGAGGCAGAGCTCAGCTGGAGCCCCCAGCATGTCCGAGACTCCCGAGGTGGCTGTGGCTCTCCTCTCTGGCCTTGGGTGCGTGCGCAGCCCATCCCAGGAGTGATAGGGCCCCTGAAGGCCATGGTCAAGGTTGTGGGACACGAGCTGGCCCTGTGGTCGGGGTTTCTTGAGGCTGTACACACAGGAGGCCTGGGAGCGTTGGCCGAGTCGAAAGCCTGGCAGCCCTGTCTGGGGCAGAGTGGGGCTGTGTCTTCCCTCGGGGTGTCCTGCTGTGCCCTCTGCGGTAGCAGTTCAGTAGCAGAGGGGTGTGCCACCCCTGGGGCGGCTGTGCTGTGACCCCAGCTCCACATTCAGAGCCCAGGGGCTGGGCAGTCCCAGGAGAGGGCGCCTTGCAGGTGGCCGACCCTGTGGTGTGGGGTCTGGGGGGGCTTAGTGGTGAGAGGAAAAGGAGACCCCACCCATACCCCCCGCCAGAGGCCAGGTGAGCCAAGGCTGGGAATGTGTTGGGGCCACAGCGGACGGGAGGGCCCTGGGCGGCGGACGGGAGGACCCTGGGTGGGCAGGAGGGCCCTGGGTGGCAGACAGGAGGGCCCTGGGCGGCGGACGGGAGGACCCTAGGCGGCGGACGGGAGGACCCTGGGTGGACAGGAGGGCCCTGGGCGGCGGACGGGAGGGCCCTGGGTGGGCAGGAGGGCCCTGGGTGGGCAGGAGGGCCCTGGGCGGCGGACGGGAGGACCCTGGGTGGGCAGGAGGGCCCTGGGTGGCAGACAGGAGGACCCTGGGTGGGCAGGAGGGCCCTGGGTGGCAGACAGGAGGGCCCTGGGTGCGGCAGACGGGAGGGCCCTGGGTGGCAGACGGGAGGGCCCTGGGCAGCGGGCGCTTTCCACTGCCTGGGACCCACCGTGGTCAGTGGATGGGGCTGCCATGTCCCTGTTCCCTGAAGGAGCAGGGGTGGGGGCAGGGAGGCAGGGCCCCTCCCCACCCTGCTGTGGTGGGGTACGTGGGCATGGCAGCCCTGGCTGAAGCCCAGCCTCCCTGTCCCAGCCCCTGTCTCTTCTACAGCACAGCCCATCCCCACCCTGTCCCCTCCCTGCAGCCCTGTGTTTCCTGTTTCCATGCCCGGCTGCAGAGGCCAGGGGTCTCCCCACTGTTCTCGTGTTCAGAGTAGCGTCCAGGGGCCTTGAGCGACTCCACGTGACCGCCTGCTCTGCTCTCACTGGGGGTCTGTGGCTCAGCAGCTTGGGTCCCGTGACTTCCTATTGTAAGTTCAGGTGCCTCTGGTGGCCCTGCGGGAGGGGGGCGGGGGCGGCCGTGAGCCATCCTTTTAATATGTCTTTATGGAGGTGTGGTTCCCAGATCCTAACCCCCCACCCCACCCTGCAGAGCCCTCATTGAGCTGATCTGGAGCCATCATTGTAAAGTCCAGACCTTCTGCCAGACTGCCCAGGCTCTGGCAGTATTAGGTTTTATTCTGCCTGTTCTGGAGCTTTCTGTCCGTGGAGTGGACCGTGCTGAGCCACGGTATTGCTGCTGCTGCCATTGTGGGCTGGACAATGAAGGACTCTGGTGCAGCCACTGCCCAGAGCCCAACACGGACCGGGCGATGAGGGGCCCGGGTGGCAGCTGCTGCCCGGAGCCCTGCATGGTCTGGAGCCCAACACGGGCTGGGCGATGAGGGACCCGGGTGGCAGCCACTGTGCCAGATTCACCTGTTGCTGCTGGTGAGCTGGGCAGGTTGGAGGAGTGCCGTTTGGGGTGAGGCCGTGTAGGGAGGGGGCTTCTGGTCCCATCATGCCACCTGCTGCTGCCTGCTGAGGAGCGTGCGGTCTCCCCCCTCCCCAGGTGCCCCAGGAGGAAGTCACTGTGCCCAGCCTGGACTTGGAATTCTGGGGGTGTGTGGCAGCAGGGGGAGGGTGCGGCCGGGTCTGCTTTGGAAACACTTCTCAGGTTTTCTGAAGTGACACAGTGACAGGCAGTTCCACCTTGGGGACGCTCCACCAATGTCCACAGTGGCCAGGGCTGGGCCAGGCAGAAGCCGGGAGCCAGGGACCCAGCGACTTGAGCCTCCCCCCGCTGCCTCCTGGGGTGAGCATCTGCAGCCAGCTGGGGTCAGGCCGAGTCAGAACTTTGGGTCCCGTAGACACCCCTGGCAGTGGGGGTGGTGGAGTGCTTCCTCCAACCGTGACAGCTCCTCTGGGTGCCCTGGTGCCTGCTGAGGAGAGCGGGGTTGGAAGCTGAGAGCCAGGTACCCGGGCTGGGCAGCCAGAGCAAGTGAACATGTGAGAAGGGGGCCGACCTGTGCATGTCACCGGCGTGGTCACAGCTTGTGCCGTTAATGAGACAGACGTTCAGGCGGGGACGGTCATTGAAGCCACATCCCACCCCATCGTCATACTTACCCCGTGAATTCCAGTGTGCGCGTCTGATGGGTCAGAGGTTTCCCAGGATGTACCCACCTCCCCCTGACCGGGATATAGCAGACCTCCCCCTGTGGTCCTGTGAGCTGGACGGGGAGGACGGGAGGCAGAGGTTGTGGGAGAACTGGGGTCTTCCCTGCCCCTGGCCTTGCCTTTCAAACTTGAAAGTGGGCTGACCCCGAGTGCAGTCCAGCTGTCAGCCCAGTAGGGTTCCCGGAGAAAGGCTGCAGGCGGCTGCTTGGAGCACGGCTCCTTCCAAAGTGGCCAGGGGAGCTTTGAAGGTGCTGCGGCCCTTCTGGAAAA